AAATTTCCAATAGAAAAAATTAATTAAAATAAAGAAAAGGTCATTTTGGTCAAAATTCTTAAAATTGGGGGGTACTCTGAAGTTCCAAAAGTTCAAATTTGATAAAATAATGTCAATAATGACCACAAGTTGTCTGCTTTGCCAAGCCTTATGTTTTATTTTTCCAGAGTTCAAAATTTATTATCCATTACTAGTCAGGCGGTTAAGTCCAAATTATATCCAGAATTGTGCAAAAGATGATAAAAGCATGAAACTTTCCACGATGAATGAAAAAAGCCCCTCATTTGGGTACTAATGAATTTTGGAGTTGCAATTGCCAGAATTGTGCAAAAGATGATAAAAGCATGAAACTTTCCACGATGAATGAAAAAAGCCCCTCATTTGGGTACTAATGAATTTTGGAGTTGCCCCCCGATCCAAAATAGACGCACACCCAATGGTCATTCATCGTGGAAAGTTTCATGCTTTTATCATCTTTTGCACAATTTTTTTGGCTTAGCCGCCTAACTATACCGTACTGCACATTTTGCTTTCGCCAATATGTACTTTTTGATACAGCGTAACTCGAAAACCGTTTGGAATACATAAAAACAGAGACCATTTCCAGTGTTGGGCTTTACATGTTCTACAAAATGCAAAAAAGAATGGGTCTCTAGTATTAACGGTTCCCGAATTAGAGACAGTTTTCAGTTTCTGCATCTTATGGCTGCTACTCCCGTGAAAATGCACCGATTGACACCAAATTCACGAAGATGAAAGATGACCTGAAGGGTAACACTTTCCAATAATATTATTGGTCTGTGTGGTGTCTGAATAACAGGGCAAAAAAAAATTTTTTTCGTAAAAAATTTCATTTTTTTTTTTTAATTTTGGCCCGTTTGACCTTGAAGTAAAGGTCAAAGGTCAAATCCAAGGGCCTTTTTGAAATCTACACATATGACTTTTTGAAAGCAGTCTGTAGAAATTTTTCCCATAACCCCTTCCATAGGGTAGATAATTAGCATTTAATTTTGCCATTTTTGGACAAGGGTGCATTGCAATGAGTGCCACACCCAGACCCCAATAAGCCCAAATTTTACGTGGAACGAGTTGAGATTATAGGTGACGTAAATCCAAGAGATGGGTATGGGGGCCCTTACCGTCTAGGAGGAGAAGTGGTAATGGTAGCCGTCTCCTGGAGCCGGCGGAGCCGGCGGAACGATCCGGACGGGACCAAAACCATGTGTACTGCCAGCGCTAACGCTGGTGGTACAATAACAGCGCAAATAACTTATTTTTCGTAAAAAATGTCGTTTTTTTGAAAATTTTGGCCCGTTTGACCTTGAAATAAAGGTCAAAGGTCAAATCCAAGGGCATATTTGAAATCTACACATATAACTTTCGGAAAGCTGTCTGTAGAAAATTTTCCCATAATTCCTTCTATAGGGTAGATAATTGGCATTGAATTTTCAAAAATTTTGACAAGGGTGCATTTCAACGAGCGTCATGCCCAGGTCAATGCACCGACTGAGACAAAAAAACCTGTGGGTTCAAGTTGAGGTTATATGTGACCTAAATCCAAGAGATGGGGACAGGGGTCCTTGCGGTCTAGGAGGAGAAGCGGTAACGGTGACTTGTATCTGGCGCCAGTACGGGAGCCGGCGGAGCCTCAGGAGCCGGCGGAGGCGGACGAGACGGGTCGGGACTAAAACCATGAGTACCGCCAGCGCGTATGCTGGCGGTACTAATAAAAGGGAACTTTTTGTAGATGACGAATCAAATCAAATCTAGAAATACCCATACTCAACTGGATGAGCCAAAAGGCAAAAGTAATACTGTACAGTGCATGCATACTAGTACAATTCTACTACCACTGTTACTGTATCCATGGTTTCACACAGGACATACATCATAATTAAAAGATCAAGATTAAATATGAAAAAAAGATCTACCAATAAATAGACTGAAATGAGGCCTGTCACTCCACCAAACACAGCAGGCACTGCTTCACTTCCCAAAAGAAGAGGAAGGCCAACTAAGGCTCCAACTGCATCTTTGAGACCACTGTTGCCCCAGCCACCCTTTTTTACCCTCAGTAACTTATGGAATCCCAGGAGGGCCAAGTAAAAAAAAAAAAAAAAAAAAAAAAAAAAAAAAAACATTTGAAAAAAAAATTGCAAAATTTGCTAGATCACGTGTAATCCTGCGAGATTGCGCGTAATCCCGTGTGGTCGCGCGAAATCCCGAGAGATCAATCGTGTTTCATTTTCAATATGAAATTAAAAAAAAAAAAAACAAAATCTCGCGGGAAAGTGCAAGAAAGAAAAAAGCATGGCGAATGAGGCAGGGAGGGGCTGTTCAAAATGCCGACATTGCACCGAACATGAAGAGGAGGATGTCATTTGCAAAGGGAAAACAGCCCAACAGCCTGGGATATTGGCCCCATGCTAGGCCAATGCTACAATGAGAAGGAATTTTTTGGAGCTAGAATATTTTAAAAAACACTCTTTAGTACCACCAGCATGTACGCTGGCAGTATTCAGGGCTTTAGTCCCGACCTATCTCATATGGCTCTGCAGGGTGTCGTGAACTACAAGTCACCGTTACCGCTTCTCCTCCTAGAACGCATTATTTCAAGGTCAAACAGGTCACATTTTTCTAAAATTGCTACCTTTCTTGTGAAAAACAGATATTATTGCCTATTTTCAGAAACTACACAGATCTAATCTATAATATAATGGGCAGGTGTTACCCTTAGGGTAATCTTTCATCTTTGTGAGTTTGGGTTCAATTGGGGCATTTTCAGTCGAGTAGTGGCTATTAGATGCCAAACTAAAAGCTCTCTAATTCTGGAACCATCATTGCTAGAGACCTTGTTTTGTTTTTTTTTCATTTTGTAGATCTTTGCATGCCCAACACTGCAGTTTTTTTTTGTATTTTTTATTTTTTTTCGTTAGGGCTTGGGCATTGTTCTGTATCAAATACATGTAGTTCAACATCCAATATTCAAATGTGAAAATAAAATGTAAAATACACCAAAATTAGCAGAGATACACCCATAGTTACTACTGAACTTGAATAGGAACGCGTAAACTGGTAATATAAAATGATTGGACAATTTTATTAAAGTTGTGCTGTTTTTATTATTTACTTAATTGTTGAAAATGGAAGTAAACTCATTAGTTATAGTTCTCACTTGTGTACATAGTAGAATTTTTCAAATATCATGGGCCTGAATACCTTTGCTAATTTTTTTATAAATACCATTTTAACTGCATTGCATAATTAAGAATTGGTGGTGATTATGCTCTTAAGCATTATGTAATATAGCATTAAAAGTGAGGGAAAATAAATTTTGGTCACTCTCACCTTAATGGCCATTAAAGTCATGCTACTCGTGGCTCTCAAACCTACTGAAAGGGTTCTTGGTCTAAATTGTACCTAGACTTGCACCAGTTTGACTGCCTTGTATGTGCGTTCTATATTTTTTAAATATTGGCATTGTTATTGATCATGAGGGATTTAACCCCCAAAGGCATGAAATCTAATGGCAGTGACCTTTTATACATTATGCTATTATGATAGACAGTTCAAGGTTGTATCATTAAGTAAAATTGTATCAGATTTGGCANGAAGTCAAATGGCAGTGACCTTTTATACATTATACTATAATGATAGACAGTTCAAGGTTGTATCATTACGTAAAATTGTATCAGATTTGGCAAAACAAATTGTGCACTGCCAATAGTTACATTATAAAGAAAAAACAGTGACATATTAGTTTGAAAATCCAATAATAATCCTTAAGCACAGATCAAATTGGGAACGCAGCTTGATTGTTTTTTTTTCTGAAATTTATGCATTTTTATTTGAATGTTCATATTTCTCTTGCTGGCATATTTTAACTGTGAATTTAAACTGACATGGGTCTGCTAGTAACATATTCCTAAGGGACATATACCTGCAATGCTGTCGACTTTCTGTTAAGCATACTGTATTTTGCACTACTTTGTGCATTTTTTCTTTTTTTTTTTTTGTAGTTTTGACAGCTATGCTGGGATAGAGACTTTGAATTATATGTATTGTCAAGTTTATTGAAAAGTGGTTGATATTTTTATGTACTGACATAGGTGTGACACCAGCATCACCATGCACATAAAGAGATAACACCATCAAGGGAAAACCTGTTGCGCATTGTATTAATGTATCAAAAAGAGGAAAATAACCTCTTTTGTGATTCTTTATTTTCTTTTTTCCTTTTTAACTATTATTTGAATTTGGAATTTGCAGGTTGGTGCAGAAACATTAATATTACATTTTACACATATATAGATGACTGTAATGCAGATCTTTCTAGGATGAAGTGTCTCCTTAGTTGAATATAACACTCCTCTGCAGTGGATATTTCTATTGTCAAGTGGTAAGTGGCAGTGAAGTTAGTTGCTTCATTATAGAAGTCCTGTGGCACACGAGCAGATTGTTCATAGTTAAGTGTTTTTTCTCGTGCAACTTCTGCCAAATCTCTATCACTGACAGTGAATCCACACTGGTGACTGCCTGCAAATATATATTGCATAAAATATGTAGGTTGATATACCTTAAGCCAGTTGTTCCATTTAGTCACATAGCCATGCCACAAGAACATGGTGATGTGTAAAATTGACTACGTGTTCATATTTAAAGTAAAAGATTTTTAATACAAAAATGTCTTAAGTTTTAAATATTTCAATCTTTTATATGCTAAACATGTAACTGAAATTGCCAAATTTACCATATAAATGTGGAAATGCATAAATGTCATTTGGAGCAGCACCAGTGGGTAACCACACCTGCCTTTGGTGTCTTATTTTGTGGTTGTTCCACCACAGTTGAAATGCATCTATATCATGTTGTATCAGAGGCAAGTAAACAAATACCATGCACCACTTGTCAATGCAACTGTGTCTGTCATACCAACCATNAGTTATAGTTCTCACTTGTGTACATAGTGGAATTTTCAAATATCATGGGCCTAAATACCTTTGCTAATTAATTTTTTTATAAATACCATTTTAACTGCATTGCATAATTAAGAATTGGTGGTGATTATGCTCTTAAGCATTATGTAATATAGCATCAAAGGTGAGGGAAAATAAATTTTGGTCACTCTCACCTTAATGGCCATTAACGTCATGCTACTCGTGGCTCTCAAACCTACTGAAAGGGTTCTTGGTCTGAATTGTACCTAGACTTGCACCAGTTTGACTGCCTTTTATGTGCGTTCAATATTTTTTAAATATTAGCATTTTTATTGAGGGATTTAACCCCCAAAGGCATGAAGTCAAATGGCAGTGACCTTTTATACATTATACTATTATGATAGACAGTTCAAGGTTGTATCATTACGTAAAATTGTATCAGATTTGGCAAAACAAATTGTGTACTGCCAATAGTAACATTATAAAGAAAAAACAGTGACATATTAGTTTGAAAATCCAATAATAATTCTTAAGCACAGATCAAATTGGGAACCCAGCTTGATTTTTTTTTTTTCTGAAATTTATGCATTTTTATTTGAATGTTCATATTTCTCTTGCTTGCATATTTTAACTGTGAATTTGAACTGACATGGGTCTGCTAGTAACATATTCCTAACAGACATATACCTGCAATGCTGTTCGACTTCCTGTTAAGCATACTGTATTTTGCATCAGTATTGACAGTTACCTACTTTGTGCATTTTTTTAATTCTTTTTTTGTAGTTTTGACAGCTATGCTGGGATAGAGACTTTGAATTATATGGTATTGTCAAGTTTATTGAAAAGTGGTTGAATTTTTATGTACTGACAGGTGTGACACCAGCATCTCCATGCACATAAAGAGATAACACCATCAAGGGAAAACCAATTTACCTTTTTGTCTTACAGAACTTGTGGTTTCATAAAAATGGGTTGTGTAGCCTGTTGCGCATTGTATTTTACATTAAAATGTATCAAAAAAAGGAAAATAACCTCTTTTGTGATTCTTTATTCTCTTTTTTCCTGTACAGCAATTTGGAATTTGCAGGTTGGTGCAGAAACATTAATATTACATTTTACACATATGTAGATGACTGTAATGCAGATCTTTCTAGGATGAAGTGTCTCCTTAGTTGAATATAACTCTCCTCTTCAGTGGATATTTCTATTGTCAAGTGGTTAGTGGCAGTGAAGTTAGTTGCTTCATTATAGAAGTCCTGTGGCACACGAGCAGATTGTTCATAGTTCAGTGTTTTTTCTCGTGCAACTTCTGCCAAATCTCTATCACTGACAGTGAATCCACACTGGTGACCGCCTGCAAATATATATTGCATAAAATATGTAGGTTGATATACCTTAAGCCAGTTGTTCCATTTAGTGACATAGCCCATGCCACAAGAACATGGTGATGTGTAAAATTGACTACGTGTTCATATTTAAAGTAAAAGATTTTTAATACAAAAATGTCTTAAGTTTTAAATATTTCAATCTTTTATATGCTAAACATGTAACTGAAATTGCCAAATTTACCATATAAATGTGGAAATGCATAAATGTCATTTGGAGCAGCACCAGTGGGTAACCACACCTGCCTTTGGTGTCTTATTTTGTGGTTGTTCCACCACAGTTGAAATGCATCTATATCATGTTGTATCAGAGGCAAGTAAACAAATACCATGCACCACTTGTCAATGCAACTGTGTCTGTCATACCAACCATCTCTGTGCAAACCCTGAAAAGTATAATACTTGTGAATTTATCAGTCATTCTATGATATGCCAACGGATTAAAACTCTCTTTAGGAAAGTTGACCAGAAACACTCTATTTTCTGAAATAAATGCATGACATCAGAATAGTGCGTGATCCAACTACAGGCTTTAATAGACATCCTTGTGACAAATGGGTAAATATAATAATAAATTACATACCTGGTTCAGTGGTGAAGGCCCCATGATGTGACTATCGGAGAAAGCACGCTGATCACTGCTATTTCTTCTTAGGAACATTTGGCATTCAATTAAGTCTACATTCTCTGTCCCTGGGTCACTTCTAGTTCTATTAGGGCAGACTATTAAAAAACGGTAACTATTAGCACAGATGTTTAAGAAGACCACAGTGTTGAAATATACCCCAAACTAGTATGTTACAATGGCAAAATCAGAAATGGAAAATACTAGTAAACTCTTTTAAACCCAGAGTGTGTGGTTAGATAAGGGATAGAGTTTTTCAAATTGGTTTTTTACTTAAAACAGTACATTATATACATACACAAAATCTTGCGTGAAAATGTATCAATGCATCCATGTATGTAAATATGGCAGAACTGAAACTTGTCATTACCATCCACAGACCAAATCCAATTTGGTCCCTGAAAAGAAATAGTTGATATTATCACATGAAAACCTAAAATTAAATGTCATTTTGAAAGTATATACATGTGAATAATCTGACTGATACATTCCTCAAATGAACGAATCAAACAACTTTTACTGATAAGTGGCTCCATCATACAATTATCTTTCTATAATCTTAAGTTAGTTGAAACTGACAGTATGATGACTTGGCAATTTTTGTGACCAGAAAAGGGTTTAAGACTAAATAGTTTTCCACATATTGTGTTATCGCTGAAAGTGCATGGCTTAAATGATCAAGACAGATAGGTCTCTGTGTCTATACATAAAAATAATATTTATCTGTGATTTAAAAACTCGTCGATTTAAAGCCCTTCGTAATCTTAGTTTCCGACCTTCATGATCAACTTCATGCAATATCTCTTGCACATCAATTCTTAGGATAGAGTAGGGTCAAAACACGGTATTTGAAATGTCTCTGACGGGACATTTTAGAGACAATTTTAAAAATTACAGTTGGTAAATGATCCACATGGTTACTTTTAAATACATTTTTATTTAGCTGGACCATAAAGGATTATGTGAAACAAGCAGCTAATTTGTATTGAAATAAATGTGGGAATGACAATCATTTAAAGGTCTGTCTCTGACGGGACATTTTTGACCCCTGTATTTTTTTACCAAAACTCCAATGCAAAATTCTCTTTGAAATTTGATTTAATCAAGACTTTTGTAATTCATATTGCAAGGCACAAGTCTTGGGAAGCAATTAATGCACAAACAGGCCAGTTTTGTTTACTTTCCTTGGCAGCATGGGCTGTTAAGTGTAAAAAGTCACTGTCTCTGACGGGACGTCTCTGACGGGACACTTTTGGGCACTGTTGAAAAATCTTAGAAAAGAGGTTTAAAAAGCCACATTTTTGTATCTAATGAATCTTACTTGATGGTTATTGCAAAATAGCATTTCTGTACATTAGAAAAATCACCAGATGCAATATGTTTATAATATTAATTAATTATCATGACACAGTGATAAGGCACAGTATAATTTTCATGTACAAGTAATCCACTGTCCATTACTGCTATTTCTCAACATCAATCAACACTGTCCATGATAGTTCACATAATAATTCCTGTTTTTCAATTAGTCTTAGAACACATCTTTTCTGCACTTTAGAGATTTTTTTTCAACCAGTCACATTAACAGGTGATGGAAACAAGTAAAGTCCACGAGTGTCTATGCTAGGCATTGGAAGGACTTCCTTGGCATCTTTTATGGGAATCCATGCTTTGTCTTCTATGGCAGGGTACACAAAGATTATTTTGCCAGAACCTTCAGTACGTAAGAAACTGACTTCCACTTTGCCGTCTTCAGTGTCATGGGTGACCTGACATAAGAACGGTTTTACTCCTTTCCTGGCAGCAAACTCCGCAATGACAAAATCTCCCTGGTGAGACTGAGCTGTGCCTTGACCGACATTGTCATAGTGTGAATGTGCAGGCAAATTAAAGTCCACAGTCATATGAATAAGTTTACCATATTAAGAGGGTTGCTGGTACTGAGAATTGGTTGACACAAGAACATGTCCACCGGGCTGGGGCTGAAGCCGTTGGAAGTGTTGAATTCCTGGAACAGATGGACAGTTTTCCCAGCGACTGCTGATGGGCGCGGTAGCTGCTGCAATATCTGCTGCAGACAGGTACATTACATTACATTGACATTGGGGCATAATTCTTTGCCAGCCAAATAGAATCTACAACCATTTTTCTCTGGAGCACTGCTCTCCAAACCTGATGTTTCATTTCCCCTACGATCCCATCCACTGGTCCTTTGCCATGGGCAGTGGTATAAAAAGTACCACTGCGCTTCCATACCAAAATCTCTTTCATGATAGTACCATGTTTAGACAGTAAAAACCAACTTTTGAATTTACTGGGGGTTCTGGCTCCGTCTGACCAGTAATGGACTTTGCTGAATGATTGCTGGTGTTGAAGGTCTTCGAGAATGGCCTTATTACAAGTGAAGACGGACTGTTTGTTATGGTGCAGATCATCAGATACCACAACATATGGTTGGAGCTGGAGATCTCCTTCAGACTCTGTTCTAAATCATGCACATGCAGTGAACAGAATGAACTGCCCACAGTTCTAGTGCTCTGACATGATCTCTGATAGCACATGTCAACACCTAATCACTGACAGTCAACCTAGCTAATAATCAGTAATGGTTAATGAATTACCCAGTAATGATCAGTTGCAAAAGAAAAATAAGAAATGTAACACACCAGAACACTTGAAAATTATTCAATTGAAGATGTAAAACCTTGTGTTTCACATCTGTCAGAAAATGTCCCATCAGAGACAGGAAATGTCCCGTCAGAGACAATGATAAAATGTGGCAATAAATTCACTGTTAATTGTTTTAATTTTGTAATTTTTAGCTATAATCATTACTTATCATTATTTAAAAGAGGATTTTAAGTTTCATTTATACAACCTTCCAGATGTGGAAAATATGAAAACTTTTCGAAGTCAAATGTCTCTGACGGGACACACCACACCTAGTGCTAAATACTTTTTTACTCAAAATAAGTGATAGATGGCAGTTTTCTATGTTAAACTATTACTTCTGATTAGTTTAACATATTTGGGTGATAAAAACTTGAAAAAACAACCTAATATCTGACTCAGGCCAATATGACCATGTGTCCCGTCAGAGACAATTTTTTTTTTCCTTTATGTTTCCCAGTGGCTCACAGAAAAAGTACTGGGAGTATATCAATGAAACTTATATTGTCTGAAAATTTGATTTGTTTTCTACAAAAATGTAAAAATTTTAAATTTCAATGAAACAAAAAAAAATTTGATACCCATGGCACCGTTACCGTGTTTTGACCTAGTAACAGAATAATATAATTTAATAGAAGTGAAACAAATATAGATTTTTACTTTCATTTTTTAATTAACTGCTTNTCGCAATTTTTTTTTTTTTTCATAAAAATTTTTTTTCAAATTTTTTTTTTTTCAAATTTTTTTTTTTCAAATTTTTTTTTTTTTTCAAAAAAAATTTTTTTTTTTCAATTTTTTTTCGCTTGGCCCTCCTGGGATTCCATAGGTTTGCATTTGTCATTTAAATTGATTTCTTTGAGTAGAATATGTGTTGCTAATTTAACTTCTCTTCGGGGATTGTATCTAGGAATTCATATACATGTATATTTCATATCATCACAATGTACAGCCAACGATCATAACAACAATGATTCCTTTATTCGGGAAAAGTTTTAATCATGCGGTGCGTGCACTGCGATATGATGTGTCGCTATCAATTGAGTTTGGCATGAATAAAAGCGGACTTTACTGGCCAAGTATCATTCAACCTATATATTGCGTTTGTCATTTTGTTTCGTTGATTGATTTTAATATTACACGGGATTTAGGATATGTAAATTGTCATTATCTGATCATTAAAAAAAGATTGACCTCCAACGAAAAGGGCAATTAACTTCAATATTGCCCTTGACCCACGAATCAATATGTCGAAAAATCTAGAGATATTTTGGCATATGCTCATTTCTCATGACCATGGTGCACAAGGTGATCACGACTTTTAGAAAACTAGGTTGTTTACGATCTTTTTATCACTGCAGAGGTTATCAGGACTTGGCTGAACCGAAGGGGGGGGGGGGTTACGTCACTTTAAACGTTGCTTTGTGTTTACACACACGAAAAAAGAACGACATTGGGCGGTCTTACGGTGAAGTTCTATGCACAGAATATTGCATTGCTTTGAAATCTTTTTCGTTACTGTATTTTAATTAAAATTGAACAGTATTTTGAATTTATTTCTCAATCAGTTGTCGTTATTAATTGCAGATTAAGGAATCTGAGCAAGAGTTACACGACGCCGATTCCATGTTTTCATGATTTTCACAAAATTCCTAAATTATCTTCGGTTTTGATACATACATCTATGATGGAACGAAAATACGCGCGTTTTATAAACGATTCTCGCGTACTAGTAGGCTGATGTGCCGTTTATAATTAAAATGAAAAAAATTTTAGGGTCTATAATCTTGGTCGACCCAAGTTTGATCACATGAGAGGGCGCTGTGTGTACTAGATGGCCTGTACTTAAGTCCGAGTTCGAACATCGTCGGTCCATTTGTCTTCCCTGGAGAGTTGTTACGTTACAGAGCAACAAGGTGGGTACCCTTACTGTCTTTAGGTCTTGTGTTTATCTTCTCACTCGCATTGAATTCAAGAAATTCTGATATTTTGTCCTCTGTTTTTCGACTACTGACTTTTATGGCTCTCAGATTGTAAAAAAACTCTCTCTCCCTCTCTCTCGCACACGCGCGCACGCACAGACAGAGAGGGAGAGATAGAGACATAATGATGAAAATAATAACAATGAAATAAATACAAATGCGTATATATCAGTTCTCTTTGTGCTAAATTTTTTCAGATGTCTGTTCCTTTTCCGAACTTTTGGGTCCGAAAGATCAGATCCTTCTTTGTCTTGTTCGACCGTGACTTAGACGGCGTAGTGCACAGGGAAGATTACGTAGACAAGGTCATAGAGAGAGCAAAGAAGTATCTTAGCGAAGAGAAAGTAAAACATTTTGAGACTCTTATAGCGAAGGCATGGGATGAATTTTGGGGTGGGCCAGAAGGCAAGACTGCCTTGACCATAGATGAGCTGATCACTTTTGTCAGTCCCCGGGTTTTCTCCGATAGCCATTTCGCCGAGACGTGCAGAGAGTGGCTGACGGTCTACTTCCAAGGCGTCGACGCAAATGACGACGGCTACGTCACTCTGAGCGAATATACAGCGTTCCTGGAGTGCTTTAACGTCCACCCCTTTTCCGTCACCCCTTCGTTCGAGGTCTTAGATACCAATCACGATGGCCTGATCAGCCTGGAAGAGTTTATCAACACCGGTACGGAGTATTTTTGTGTCACAGCGGACACGCCAGCCAAACTTTTCTGGGGGCCATTTTTGGCGTAAAAACATGACTGTGCTTGAAGTTTGAAAACTGTGCATGTCATTCGATTGCAAAAAAATTAATGCGTTAATATTATATTTACTTTTAATTTGTCCTTAGAGTAAAGAAATAAATTAAAATTAAGCAAGTTGACATACAGGGCTAGGTAGCCTACGTAAGTAAAGAAAAACGCATTTGCGTTCGTAATTAAAAAAAATTAACCAAACCATCTACTGTCTTTTAGAAGTAATTTTTAAAATTTGTTTAAGTAATATAGGAAACAGCTAGTGTTACTTAATCAGTATTTTCATATGTCACTGAAAGACGTGCCTTCAACTGCCCAGAAGAGATATTTAAATGTGTTGAACAAATCCCTGTTACGAGTTATATTCTTGCGTGAGGTGATGCAAACTTTTTTGCTTAACCTTTTCTATGATGATATTTTTCTAAACTAATCAATATTTATATCTGGCCTTCGTAAATGGCAAAATAAAATTATATTATATTTTACCCTGGCCAATTAAAGAGAACTGACCTTATTAGTTAGGTGACACTCATATCAGTCAATGACACTCCTCGTGAAGAGGAAAATATGTGTGCCTGGGTTTTCAAGGTTGTCTACATTGCACATGGTGTTTTCTCATGAAAATGACCAAATCACCTGAGGTCACCAGTATTACGAACGTTCCATTTATCAAACCTGTCCGTGCCCTCGTCTGCTTGTTCATCTACTGCACGTTCATCTACCTGGGAGTCCAATGCCCTGGTACATCGTAGTGGACACCCTAATCTTTTTTACATGCCGAAAATAACATCACCGTATCACTGCCCATCTCTGCCCATCTCTGCCCATCTGTGCATGGGATAGTATCAGCTTGTATCATAAGGTTTGTCCATCTCAGAACGTTTATAACACTCTATGTTATAGGACCTAAGAAAGTAAACTAAAAAGCGCTCATTGTGCATCAAACAAAAACTGCCAACTACCGTGTATAGTACGTGTAATTGTGTCTTGAATGATGGGAATAGAATACTCCCTCTACGACCCCATTGTTTTCAATATCTTGTATGCCATCTTGAGACTTTTTGCCTCTGTTTTGTGCTTGCATAATTCGACCAGGTTTGAATGTGATGAATCTCATGGCTTGGTGATGATAACATCAACAGCAATATCATTGATGATGGTGAATATGATAATTATATTGATGAAAACCCAGAAAGATTGTTCGTAATTATTTACGCAAAGATACTGCTTGTTATCCCATGCTTGCTTCTGCAATACGGGTAAATATATAGATCTGCAGCGAGCCATAACTCGTGTAGTTTTTTTTTCATGGAGCAAATGGTTGTTGTGATGCATAGCGTGTAAGACTGAAATACGTCGCATTCTACTGCCTTTATTTAGATTGAGGCTATCCAGGGGTGGTACCGCCTCTGATGTGCTCACGCGATTCGCGCAATACTACAGGGATAGGCCTTCTTAATTTGAGCTCTGAATAACAATCAATTGAGTAAATAATGGGCATTGTAATGGAGTTCACAAATGATATTCACTTATTGCATTTAGAGGGTGAATGTCATGAGACGCTGACGTTTTCTGAAAGTTTTCAGCACCGTGTGTGTGTGTGTTAATACACCTGGTTTTGCTCTACAATCCGCTGAGTTTGTCACTTTAACTGTAGTCAGTTTGTAAGAAGTGACCTACGACACTGCTCCAGTTAAGAAAAGGTTCAGATGTTACTAGTATGAAGGTCTGCCCGGGTCTCCTTTTCTTACGTAGTTAAATAAGGCATCTTTAGACAGACAGACAGTAGTTATATCTGCCTCGCCCTAGCACACTGTTAAAGCGCACTAGAAAATGTAAGTAGCTTATGTATATCTCCTTTTTAGGTTTGATACTTGAAAAGTTCTCATAGTTGAATAGTTTGTTTGCTTTTATTGAGAACAAAAATTATGATGAAAAAAATTAATTTGTCAAATACGTCGCCGCGACTGAACTTTTTTCTACATGAAGATTTAACGCTTTAAATGAAACATATTACGTCTTTCAATGGCAGTGAAACACAATACTCACTTTTATTTTGCAAAATATGTCGATAATGGCTATACCGTGTTTGATCTTTGCACGAAAAGCTGAATACCTCTTTTGAGTGATTGGATGGGGATAGATAAGCCTCAAATTTGCATTCATTCATTACTATTTTGAGTTTGCTTTTTCTGCCACAGTGACGATCTTTGCACATGCTCAGTGAGACTAATTGTGGCGTTCATTGTGGCGTTAATGAAATTAAATCGTCGCTCCCAACGGTCTCCCAGGCTTGTCGCCTTAATATGATGCAGGGTACATGTAGGTCTCGTCAGCCAGTGGCACACTAATTATCAGTGTCCTTCTGGTATAGCGGTGTAGCACAGTTACGCACACTGGACAAAAGAAGTGTCACCCCCTGAAGCAGAGTAATCAAAGTTATTAACCTGAAGAGGCGGAATATAAGCAATGTCAGAATATCGATACAGTTGAATTGTTCAGTCAAAACCGTTTCTTTTGTGAAATTTGATGATAATAAAATGATACCAGGAGCATATCATTCCACAGTCATTTATCTCCCCCAAAGTATTGGTTCAGTAGGGGTGACACTTCTATTGTCCAGTGTGTGTAGTTGGGTTTTGCAGGGTATGTACAGTGCTGTCAACAGAAATAGCTACATGTATATGTAAATGGGTAGAGCAACTGTAAATGGTTAAATTAACCAAATAACAGCACCCGAAAGTAATAAGAATTTATATTAGAAATAACCCAGCCCTGGCATTCCGGTATATATATTTTTACCTGTAATAACGTGATGTAAACATGGAGGTGTAGGTGCAATTTCTACCAAGTGATTTTCTGATTATGAGTAGGCCTACTTTACTTTTTTCGCGTCAACAAATGTTGTTATTTTAATTATAAGCATTGAACGTCGACGCTTTTTTTTTTTAAATCTTGAATACCTAACCATATATAGTCTTAGTTAAGGCGTAACTATTTTGTTTAAATTTCCCTTCCCTTCCCACCAAAAGGTGTGTCTATCGCTGAAATAGGCCTACTCCACGTTATGGTCTTTTTAGAGAAGTAGCGTGATGTATAAAAGGTGGACATTGAACCACGTTTTAATTTGCTATGTGATATTTCAGATGTCTGGCGTTCCATTTCCCGAGTTCTGGGTCCGGAAGATGCGGTCGTTCTACGTCATCTTCGATCGTGACCTTGACGGCTTAGTGCAGCGCGAGGATTACGTGGACTGGCCGGTGGGGAGGGCGAACAAAAACATGACCCCCGAGAAGGCCGAGTCCCTGTACGGCCTCGTGAGCAGCGCGTGGGACGTGTTTTGGGCAGGAGAAGAGAAAAGAAAGTCCGTCACCATCGACCAAATGGTCAAGGAGCACTCCCGAACCTTTGATACGCAGTCCAGCTTCCACGAGTCCCTTGAAAAGTGGCTGGAGATTTGCTTTGACGATGTGGACGCCAATGACGATGGCTGCATCACTCTGGAGGAGTACACCACGTTCCTGAAATGCTACGGTGTTCACCCCTATTCCGTCACTCCGTCTTTTGAAGCCCTTGACACCAACCACGACGGCCTGATCAGCAAGGAGGAGTTTAAAAACGCCGGTCGTGATTATTTCAAAGTCACTGCCGATACACCGGCCAAGTTGTTCTGGGGGCCATTCAGAGCGTAAATTGAATACTTTAGGGGCATTTATTTTGATCGGCCTTCTCTCGCTCTTGTTCCTCTACAGAGACCGTCTGACGCATGGACTATGAAGGAATTTTCAGCAACCCTCACATCAAACTTTTCCATAGCATTCTACCATTTTTTCAAGATAGGCTGATTGAGTACCAACACGCGGTAATCACATGTAATTTGTAAATCACAGTTGAAAAAAAAAAGAGAAGAACAAGGATGTGGCAGAACCAGCCTCAGTGTATTTGTATAGTCACAAAAAGTATCTGCGTGGAACGGGGAATTAAAAAACATTGCCTGGCACAACCGCTTTCCACAAGAAACATAAAACACTTACATAATGGATCAGGCTATTTCAGCCACGACAGATCCAAGCGCATGCCTTTCATACTTTGCATCAATAAACAGTGAAAATAAGTACGTATATGTTGATTTGTTAATTGGTCACAGCTTGAAACCTGACAATATAATATATGTATATATTCCATTTCAATCAAGAGTATAATTTGATCGCTGCTTCTTCTTTTTCTGTACCTGTACCTGTACCTGTACCCGTAACAGGCAAAATTAACATAATTTAAAGCACAGACACCTTCCAAAAATAGCAAGCAAATTCATTAAGGCGTAATATTTCTTCAGGATATAATGGAGTTAATTTCAATTTAAACACGTGACAGTCACTGGCAAATCAAGAATTCTACAAAGGGGGGAGAGGGCGGAAGGTCCAGTTTTTGTCCTGCAAATATAAAATTGCAGTAATATGATTGTAGTAATATGGTACAGCGATAAAACATTACTCGGTTTTGTCTCCTTTCGCTTGTTATAGGCTATCTTTTGTTTTGGAGGAGTGATCCGCCATTGACAACCACATCCAAGACTGCCTCTTATGCAAGTTTTTGTTCAACGGTATCATTTTTAGCATTAAAACGGACTGAATAGACAGAGAGCAGTCGAGCTCCCTGGATAAAACCATATTGACTAATGTCAAAAACGGTTCAGAAAATTTAAGCTGATCCGTGCACGCGAATCAAGTTCAAAGAACGTGTTCTCTTAGATGAAAACAGTTACCAAGTGCATCCAACCAGTCGTTAGTACATAAGTACATTTTAACAGAACTATTAGGCCTACAAGTCGCAGGTAAATGGTTCCGTTGACCTAGATAGGGGCTGATTTGAAACGCCGAGGCTATAGCATCTGAACAGTTGTTTTGGTCGCAGAACCGTGACCTAGTGATGCTTGTAGACGAAATACTGAAATGTACAGACAGCTTTTCCTCCAGTAAGTTTTAAAGCGTGATATCCAAGCTTGCAACACAGATGAAGTGAGCAAGCCTCTAAACAAAAAGCCATTTGGTATGGAAGCTTTCGAGAAACAAAAGCCATAATTAAGAGAGAAAAAATTTCATGAACCTTTTTCGGTAAAGCCCCCTTTACACTGGACGGCGTCCCTTCTGCGTCCAGCAGTACGGCCCCATTTGAGAGTTAAAAATTATAATACTTTACGTGCCGACAACTGGCCGATCATTGAGCATTCATTCTGATACAAAATCAATGCTCGTGCCTCAATATTTGGACCACAGCGATGCCAAATTTCATGGTCGCAGATAGGACGCAGAAAGGACGCCGTCCAGTGTAAAGGGGGTATAAGCGACTATCTCGAAACAAGATGCGTTGTTCGAGTCGCGAACTTATTGGAATACAAACATAAGTCATCGACGGGTTCGTAAAAATTGTCCCCCATTTATTTGATACGAGCTTGGACCCATTATATACGTATAATATGTTATACTCTATTTTTCGTCTTGAAAAAGATTGGAAGATTGCACGGCTTGCTAACCCTTTTTTGAGTTTGTTCTCTAAAATTTGAGTCACTAAAATATAACCGAGATGTAGACAAGTCAATTCTACGCGTAACGGTCAGGAATTGAATTTTGGACTCAAAAATGGGTTAAAGGGATAATAACTCTTTGTATGAGCTCTATATTTCACAATAAAAACATTAAACAACTCATAGAAATATAATATATTCTGTTTTACCACAAAAATGGCAGTTATAGCTATTCTGATATCTGAGCTTGTCTTCAGACCACGTGACCTTCATTGACAGCTATACTCTGTTATAATCTCTTAAGAGATTTTAACAAAAAACCAAACTTTTTAGAAAAAAACCAGGGACTAACTTTGAATGTAAAAATAGATTCATTAACCATTGGCAAGTATGGGAAAATTATTGTTTACTCTAGGAAAATTCATTTTTTTAGCCAAAATGAAGAGTTATTATCCCTTTAACTGGTTGTAATTTCATAGCAGTTCTGGATATGTAATACTTTAAGAGAAAATTGATATATTGCTTTATGTTATATCAAAGTCGAACGCTCACTGTATGCCTTTAAACTACATCAGTTACACAGAAAGTATCGGAATTTGAGATCGCGATCGGTTTCTCATTCCGCTTATCTCGGACTAAATTTAGTTATTGATCTTCACTTTTATGAGCGAAAAGTGACAGTGGAAGCGGGGATATAGGGGGAAGTGTCGAACGCTTGGCCAAGATAGTTTTTAATTGAGTATTTCCTATCAATATTTCGCTCGCTTTGCATCTGGAATATCATTATACGTCTTATTTTCTGAATTTTGTCAAAATTACCCAAACGTCTGATGTGAGTTGCGTGCCGAGAAATATAGATATACGCGTAGTCCTGCTGATAGAAGAAGATCGATCTAGCAGCGCTTCATTAGACGACACGATCACGACCAAACAGAAATGCCAGATGAAGTTACAAACTGATCAAATTCGCTGCGGGTCGTGACTCTTTCACTGATTCAATTTTATCATTCGCACTGGTCACTAGGCAACACAATGCGAAGTGACGTGTTGAAATTACCGAAGGAAGTGAAAATGGCGGGAGGCGTACCACACCTGTAGAGATAGCTGAAGTATTCAAACTTGTAGACACTCTAGAGGAAGAAAATATATAAAATGATGATATTTACCCATTTTTTTACCCACATTCTTTTCCTCGGTTTAGGAGTGGCTTTTTTTAAAGGTAAGTAGTTTAACGACACAAAGTGGCATATCTAAAGTATAGTAAGTGTGGAACGACCTGTGTGAGACGGGTATCAGATGTTCAAACAGAGCCCATTCGAGAAGAACTTCATGCTGCACCTACGCCTATAGGTTTTCGTGCACAAATACAGTTTATTCAACCTCTTAACCAATATTTTACATTGCGTCTCAGTTGTATCTTGTTAGGAACTACAACGCTGGTAAATGGTTCTGCTTTAAAACATCTTTTAAGTGTAACAAAGAGAAAATGTATGAAAAGTTGTGGGCGATTGCTTTCTGTAATATGCCTTTTTTTCATGAAAACGACATCGACATATATAATTCTTTATGTCAAAAATAATTGCATCGATTGTAAATAGATTACCATATCATGAGTCATATGGTGTTATATAATATTTAACAATTTTTGTAAGGATTGGTTGTGCAAACACTGGTTTGGAGGCAAGATAGTTCGAACGCTTAAATAATATAGTATAGGTACACATATTTATGTTATTATGTTTATTTAAAAGTCTATTCACCAGTTCTGAATATAATATTGTATAAATCTGTATTCTTGTCCTGCATTGCTTTCAAATTTTACTGTTAGACTTTTTCATCGCAGCTGAAATTATACAACACAACGAACGACTGGAACCGTTACTACTAATGTGCAATGCAAGTAGACTCGCGTGTACCACCGCTTTTGGGTTATCAAATTTCTGCTTGATATTCCAGCCTCGCACTCCCTAAAGTGCTATCAATGCCAGAACGAAGGAGAGAATAGCTTGTGTAGTAGTAACGCGACTCTGGAAGAATGCCCTACGGGATTTGATACATGTCAGACGACACTCCATTTTTCTGGTAAGACGAGATTTAAAGCAGAAATGAATTAGCAAAGCTTTGCTCCTGTTTTTCTTATGAAGTTGTCACTCATAGTTGGCTTCTGGAAGAGAGTTTATAATGAGTCTTTGTCGTATATGCAGTATTGTATTTAAAGTAAGTCCACTAATTACTTGACATTTTCGTGTTTCCCATTACGTGTTTTTCCCTCATTACAGTTTCGTGCATTGTCAAATAAGATAGTAACGACAAAATGGGTCATAATTAAGGCCATTTATCATTGTAAAACCGAGACAAAATTTTGTCGAAGTTTCATTTTAGATTTTTTATTTGGAACCAAGAGAAAGACTCAACCCAAGGTGTTTTAGCTATCCGTTGAAAGGCTTTTGAATAAGGAGTTGGAAATAAGGAGTTGCCGATTTTCAAAATGTACTCGAACTATATCACTGATTGGATCGGAAGACCCTGTTTGAAATTTACCACATTATTCCAGACGCATTTCAGATATTTTCCCTGAACAAATTCAATCAAGGGTGCACCATGCCTGTTGTGTCATCCGTTGCCCGGAGCGGAGAGCTAAGCACGAAGTCGGTTGAACTGATGAAAAAGTCAGAACACATTTCCCAGTGCAAAAATTATGAATCACATTAAATCGCTAAATATCTTGATAAGTGATTAATGAAGAGCTAAATGACATTGATAGCGTAGACTGTACTGTATCTCATGTCTTGGGCATTCGACAGTAGGAAATTTTAATTGATTGCTATCAATTGAAGATCGATTCGTAAATCTAATCAAAATAACCTGACTATAACGGAAACATCTGATTAAAGGACATATATATATATGGACCATTAAAATTTGCCTGGGATGACAGAATTTTTAACATTTACAAACCTGCAGATGACAGATGATTTTAATCTCTAATGGGAGACTTATTTAACTGTCATTGTTTGATCGGCTACAGCTTTTTCACAATCATAATGATAGTTCCTTTGCAGCTAGTATTTCTTTTAGATATAGTCTACGTATAGACTATTTCAGAGATCACAGTGATAAATCCAAAATTTGGAGATAAAAATTTAAGTTTGATTAAAGGTATTCTTTGCGGGATTTTCGAGCCAATCTAA